CTATTATGATTTATGATCATTGATTTTATACCTATCGGAAAATATAATTCATAATTAAAATAGAAATATGTATATTTTTAATTCAGATAGTTAATATATTGTGTAATTTTAAAATATTATCATCTGAAAAATTTAAACGCTTTATAATGATACAATAAAAATATTAAACATATATTGATTTTAAATGAAATTTAATAAAACTATAAACTAATCGGCTTGATGTATTTAATTTGAATGATTTACATCATTAATGATGATATATTAAAAATTAATTAAAATCAAATGAACTACAAACGTTAATGGTTTGTTAATACATTAAATAGAAGTGAAACATTCAGTGTTTAAAATGTGAATATGTAATTTTATTGCTTTGATATAATCTTAAAATTGTAATTAATGTATGGTTACATAGTATTATATTATTCTAAATATTCATAAATATAAATGCAAATCTTAATTTTGAACTAATAAAGATTGCTAAATCATTTTCGTATGGTGTAACTGGGAAATTATGAGTTTATCTATGAACCATTACGGTTTAGAATATTAATGCATCTTATTGAGTACTGAAAAATAATAATCATGATGAAAATCCAACTGGACTGACGAAACATGCAGACCAAATGGGAATAGTGTACGTGGACAGAGTTAGGTGGGAGAAAAAAACTGGTAAGAAAAACAGCACGAGGGAACAACATTCCATCAAATGTATAGCCTTGCAACCGCGGTGGCAACAACGTCTTCGGCACAATATATTAAAATATATTAGTTAAATCGAAAATCTGGTTTTGTTTTTACTCTACTCTTATGCGTTATGTGTTCCCTAGATTCATTCGAAATCACTATATTCACCGTGTGCGATACTCTAATTGAGAATTATTATCAGACATGTACAATAGAATTATGAATTAAGAAACGTTTCTTGGTCTATGTAACCATAATTTTGTAAGACAATTTTTTCCTTTTCAAATCCGTCTGTTATAGAAACTCAATGTTGTATAATTTACCAATATATTCATGTTTCAAATTTCCAGAACTGATATTAACTGTAAAGTCATGAATCGATGCATTGTGTATTATTAAACTAGTAAAGTATTATTTATTAAATTCGTATTATAATGTATTGACGATTGCAGAGAGTGAAAAATAATGACAGTTTATAATTCGATTTACGTATGATTAAAAAAAAAAATTTAACGAATCTCCATTGGTAGATATTGAAAAATCTTGGCGAAGACATTTTAATGAAGTTTTATTTCGATATACGTTGGGCGATATCATGAAACCAATATAGAAATATAGCACCTGGCCCCTTTATTTATTTAACGTATTAGCTGATTAATATTGAACACGGTCCAAATATTTAATTAGGACAAATCCATCGACTTTTAAAGCTGAACAACGGATCGTCAAGATGGCATGTATACGTTACATTCAATATCGCACTCCATTGTTTCAAATTATTATTACACCTTTGCACCGAATAAGTTGAGCGTAGCAGTCCTAAAGTCACAAGTTACCAACGGCAGTCAGCATGCGTACGGTATATCTTCCGTTCGATTGTAAGTTATGAAATCAAAAATTAAACTAGACGTTTTGGTTTAATAATAGAACAATGGCTCTCTTCAATGTTGTTCTGTAAACAGCGGCAGCGTATGTACACGCGTTATTTCTACGCGCATACTGCGAGACATCAAAGCGTGCGAGTCTCCTGCTGGTCTCGTGAAAGCTTTCTGTCCCGGAGAACGTGGTACTGATTATGTTTTATTTTTTATTTTTTACCGTACGCAATATATTGTTCGTACACGTTTCAAGTGTGACCCAGTATTTTACCAAAGCGTAGGCGTGGCTCACTGCAGACCGCGTCTGAATAGACGTGATGTCCAGATACAGAGTACAACAACGATGTGTACACGGGACCACCGAGCGTTTCGCTGCGAAACGAACAGTCTTTCAGATCCGAGCAGCTCCGGAACTTTATCAAGGTGTACGACCGGCAATGTAAATGTATACAAGTCACATCGCAGAAAATTTGGTGGCGACGATCCACCGGGACAAACGGTTTACCGCGTAAGTTTAAGAAGAAAATCGCGTTAAATCGAAAAAGAAAAACAAGACGACGAGTAATGCAACGGCGAAAAAACGTGTTTATGTTCGATACTGATAAACAAAAAATAGAATCGCCATATCGAATAATGTGTGCACACAAATCGTTTAGGGAGCGTTTGCCGTTCACGATCATGTAGTAATGGGTACGTTTATGTAGGATGAAATAAAATAAACGCATGTCGTCGATGTGTTCGTATACTGCGAGGATAAAAAGCTATTCGATTCTGCTGACTCTCGATACAATTGTACCAATCATTCATGGAGTTCACATTACGCCCGATCGGCCGTTATCGTTTCTATTATCGACCAACTAATAACAACCATTACTACGCTTTAACAATGAGTATATAAATATGTAATGTTATGACGGGATGTGGACAGGAGAACACACGGCGACAACTTGCCCCGCCGGATTTGTTTGATGGACAGAACAATCAATTTTCAATTCTCGACCCGACCGGTCCTGAACGGATATTACGTCACTGCAGATGACGACGACCGTTGCTGCTTTTTGCTGCAGTATTTATACAAGACAATGATTTTTACTGTGTGCACCGAAAATACTTAGTTGGACAAAACAAGGTTCAAAACAGACGAAAAATCGTGATTTAGCAACCCGTTGCAACCCACGACTTTTCAGTGCAGCTACGAGCTCGTATAATACACGAAGCCGATCATGATTTTGAAAAGTGAGAATCATCTCAAAAATTATTATTGTGTTTTGATATGATTTCAATTTACAAAAGAAGTGTAAAAACCGAATAGTAGGAACATTTATTTCATGGTTAAACTTGACATTTTTCGAGTTAAAACATGAAAGATACTCATACAATCGTTTGAGCTAAAATCAACTACCTATAAGACATTGGACGGTAAATGGTCGCGAAATTATCAACTAATCCAGTAATGAACGCGAAAGTTCGAATTATGCACAACGAATGAATCATATTATGTACGAACAGTTGCATACGTTTGCCGATTTCCTTGGAAATTATAATATTCAAGACGATTGTACGTCACATGCACCTTGAGCCAATAAATTGTATGTACGAAAAACATCTGATCACAAATGATGTAAGGAAATAATTTAAAGATCCTTGAAATGTTATTAAACATAATTTCACAATATAAAACTGCTATATAATACGTATATAATAAAATACTTACATTTTTTTATACATTATTTTTATTTGGATATATATATAGCACGTCTATAGCATTTATAATGTGTACTTTGATGTATTATAAATATATAATTTTTATTTTTATATTGGAACAAAAGCAATATGGTATCGATTTAATGTTTATTCGTTTAAATCTGGCACTAAATTACGTTCATGATTATCTATACATATTACAGTTGAGATCATTTGAAATTCAAGCGGAAACTGATATTTTTTGACGTTGTGTGATCCAGAAACGATTTTTATAATGAAATACTGAAGAGAAAGAGCATATAAAAGGGAGAAAATGACTATTCGAAAGAAATCTAAAAGATTGAGATCGAAGAATAAAATAAATAAATAAAAATAACACTAACGATTAAAGACATTAACTTTTGAAACGGGCATAATCCATAATCGACACATTTGATTTCCGTCCATAAACAATGTAAGGAAACGATCTCAAAGACAATATAGGAAAAATAAAAACCCGGTATTCGAATGTTTAATGAACAATGAAGCTCAGATACGAGTCGTCAACACAGATGTCAGAGATTTGTTAATATTGACGCATTAAATTCGCATTACAGTCGGTTTTTACACGGAAGAGAAAAATGTCCAATAAAAAACATTTTGTGTTTGTGCCATTTGTCGTATCTGCTATGCAACGGGCGATTAAAATCCCATTTAGACCCGACTTAGAGAGCTTATTGCTTTCCGCCCAAAAACAATCCCCCTTTAAACCCTTCCCGTGCCAACTCACACACCCCGGGACGTAATGTACACCCCGGATACGTGCTGTACACACTGTTGTGAGATTTTTTTTTTCATTTATGTTACACTTGTCCTAATGCGAAATCGATAATGTCCCTTTTAGAGGCCCACGTGACCAAAATTGTCCATTTTTAAAAATATAGTCGAACACTCGAATTCCAACGGTTAACCCTACATACGCCATCGTTGCCGCACGGGACATTATGTAAACGAAAATACACTGTACGGACATTAATAACAAAATATATTTACATGTATTAATAAATAAAAATGTAAGATAAAAAAAAAATAAAAATAAAAATAATGTGATCGAATTACAGTTTAAGCTAATGGATAAAGTTTATGATACATGATTATTTATAATTTTGTTCGTCATAGATGTCGATCGTTTGAACAAAGTAAATAAGACAATTATGATTAATCGATTTGTGTAATTGTAAAATACCTACACATACACGTATACCTATATATAATACACATTGTATATGCCGCAGTATATTTTTTCCCACAGTGAAGTTGTATCAATTTCACCGATCGATCCTGGCGCGTACAGACGCCGCGTGTCATTATTAATTGATCGACAAGGCCGATCGGTGGGTTGTGTAAATAGAGTTATCAATCCATATCGGGGGAGTGGACCATCATCGTACCGGTTATCTGCAGACACGTTAAGGACATCACAGTCGCGCAAAAGATAATAATATTTATACTATAATATCAAACTCTTTGTCAGGCTATAAAGCAAAGAGCAGAAAAACTAACGCTTACGGACATTGGATTTTTATAACACGATTGCCGTCCAATGCGGACTCGACTAAAGACTATTAATGCATTTTATTTTATTCCGTCATTAAAAAAAATTAAAAATACAACTGTATATTGGTCATAAGTTCCTCGTAATTTACATACGTAAAGTCTATACACTTGTTAACGATGCATAATTTCCGATTTCAGGTACTCGTATCGATACCTACACGTCACTGCTGCGGAGAGTGAAGTTCGAAGTAGTAATTCAACATCAAGATTATTACACACGTCCAACTAGTGAACGCAATGAGGGGATTTAAAACATTTTCAATTGCAAAGGAGAATTATATTATATAATTTACGTTTTGAAAATATCCATGTTAACCAGTGTTCTAATTGAATAAACTGTATGATACAACGTGTAGGCGCCAACATTTACTACACATACGAACAATAGTGTTTTTAATTTTTAAACTTATACCGTAAAGTTGAATAACTCTAGGAACGTACGTAAACGTAAGAATTATACAGAACGGTTTAAATAAATAAAATATTTTGAACATTATTGCTCTTCGTATCTATATCGTTATCAGAACAAAGAATGAACAAAAAAAATTTTTTACCGATACATAATGTGTGAAACGTGGATGGTTTCCACGCATTTCATAAGGTATTTGTTGTACAGAATATATCTAACACCGGAGAAATTTCTATTCATCCCATTCTGCACGGAAAGAAAATAAACTAATGGTGAACTTTGAGTCGAGTATATTTATATATAAGTGATATTTTAATATCATATGTTTGAACAATATTTTTTTCCTCGTTATCCAAGTTGAGTTATTACCGGAAAGTCATACGCGAGATTTACTGGCGTAGGAATTGATGATGGTGGCCGGAGAAGGATTTCTAACGGCGGCGGCGATGAAAAGTTCAGAAAGTTTTGACTATAATGTCATTTTTCGCTTTAAGCCTCGGGTGTTAGAGACACGTGTGAGATGTTGGCAAACCTTTAACCAATAAGTCTGCAGAGCTTACTTCAGCCTAAGGAAACATATGGTACTGTGCAAAATATGTAACTGAATAACGGAATCGGTGTATTGAACATAAGACGAAAATATAAGCGGTGCTGGTGTTGCGGGCACGAAGAAAGATCGCGATACGGTGTTGGACAAAGGCGATAAATTTAATTACAATACCGATTGCACACGAATCGGTAGAGTTGGAATTCTAGATACGCGCATAAGATGTTTAACTTCTGGGCTGACATTAATGTACGCAAAGAGCAGAGTAAAACTTATCGGTCATACTGCGTTTACCGTGTTCACACTTTTTTTGAACAACTACTGAATACCGAAAACCATTGTGCTACACGAGCACTACTCGATTTCGCTTAGCGGACCCGGGTTACGGGACCGATAACGGTAACCATTTTTTTACAAGCACGCAACACCAGAGGATTTCACGAAACGGATTAACAGAAAAGATAGAAACGGCACGTAAAATAATATTTATAATGTTAAGTTATCATAAATCTTATATAATACGTTTATGGGATCGTTAGTACGACACGTTTTGTAAGTGTTCAACAAAAATGATAAACGATGACGAACTTTCTATGGAAAAGGTAATTCCGTGTATGCAATGTGTACGTAATAGTATAAGACAAATTAAAAAAACAATATTATTCTTAAGATAAGTATTAATATCGTATTAACAGGCAAGGAGGGAGGAGGCGGCAAAGGGATCATTTTGTTCTGGGCTCCAGTCTAGAAAAATGTAGAAGGGGTCCTTTAAAGTCCGGATTGATTAGAAATACTCGGCGTTACCCATTTAGATATTATTGATATTTGATTTCTAAACTGTTTCTCGTTATGAAATATTAATATACTTTATTGAATAAAATCAACATAAATCGATATTTAAGTGCTATATATAGATTACATTTTCATTTATTCTAATATCTAATTATTTATGATTCTAGTTTATAATGGTTGGTGCCAGAGTGTGAATAATGACATCATTTCATGGAAATTTATGAAATTTACGTAGGGTTATTGACGTTATTGCAAGTGTCGACAAAATCCAAGTTCTGATTTTCTATACTTATTTATAAAAAAAGTAGGAATACGTTACGTTTTAATAAAATTTGGTAACTGGTACCGCGTTTCTGAGTAGTTATTAAAAATGTAGTAATTCACCGCATCAATAAATTTATAAATGACCTCGATTGGTTGAGGTTTGGAAAACAATATATAATAAACTTTTTGCAAACTTCGTGCGTACATTTCTATCATACTCGTGACGATTGAGTGACCTCCGGAAAATTAATTTGCCCCGGATCCTTAAAATCCTTAGGACGGCTATTCGCATAAAACTTTAAACGTTCCGGATCGGTATTCGCGATCGTTGACGCCGATTGCGACGAGCGAAGTGTTATTTCCGGTAAAAATCGATCTAAAAAAACTACGTGCCATCTACAGGCTAGATATAACGTCTTCTGGAAAATATAATATTACACTCTCTAGTGTTATTGCATACCGATAATATTATATACGTTTTTTTTTCGAACCTACGCATATATTTGTTATGTACACCATATTATATTATAATTATTATTATTATTATTATTAGTATCTTTTGTAAGTATGTGGGGATGAATTTTGACATTTTGTCCATTTTATACATAAATGCCTGACCATCCGTTATCGAGGAGTCGGTCGTGTAACGACTAAGCAACGATGTATTCGTTTCTTGTAAACGTATTAATATTTTCAATAACGACTCAATAAAAAATATCGTATTAGTTCATATAACAATTGCGTGAATCAATAACTTCCTCGTCGACTTCGCAAAAGCGCGAACTCAAAACGCTACTTGCGATCGGCGGAATCGACCAAACCGGTCGCGATGTCCGAGCCTACGGAGACACATAACCAAGCGACTCAAAACACGTATACTTACAGAGAATTTCGATTAAAACCACATGAATATACGTATTCACGGCTACGCATATTGCGTACGTTTCTGCGCTGACCACAATATCAACTACCTACCGTATAGTATTGATATTTGTTTTTTTTCTCTCTCTTTCTGATAATCCATTGTCGAAGCGAGTATTACATACGCTCTCGGTCACGTTCCTCGCCCAACACGAATGTCAACCGGTACACTCCCCGCCGCCACGGCCACCTCCCGCAGGTCCTCGCCAGACACATCACCGGTTGGGCAACCCCCTTTAAATGTTTGTGTACGTACATAAATATTATTTGCATCCAAAGCCTAAGTATACATTCATGCGTGAACGTGTTGTACGTTTCTTTTTGCCGCAATACAGGTAGTACAAATACACTGGTATACGTACGCGCGATGCGTTTTATTGCGTACGCGCCTAAACGGTTCACGTTAAAAAGAAAAGGAAAAAAAACCATACCAAAAGACAGCGCATGTATGTAAGCGAATAATTAATTATAATCACGTAATATCTCGCACTAGTATACACGAAATCTTATACAAAACGTTTGAACTGTTTGATTTTCGAAAATCGCGTTGTATCTACCGGACAGATTTTCATTACATACACCGTAATATATCACGATTGAATTTCAGTAGACACTCCGCTTCTTCTCCGAAATTTAAGAAAACCGATGGACAACGTTATAATCTATCTCGAAATTACGCCGTGAAACTTTATGACCAAAAAATCAATTACTGATAATCTGTTTTCAAATAATAAACACTGTGGACGAAATTTAAGATATATATATATATATATATATATATAGGTGCAGGGAAAAGTTTTCGCTGATATCAAGCCACAACTTAAATAACCATCGAATTTGAAATTTGGAATGATTGACATTAATTATGATTTTTAAACATAAGTGCACTCCGAACCGTTTGTTCTGAAATCGTATAGTATATCTGATAATAATCATAAAATGTATACAAATGCGAATTGCATACTGGATGCCGTTACACTCAGGTAACTGTTCAGTATTAAATTGCTATTTCTAGTAAAAAATTGATGGTTAATATTTATCATGACTTGTTGCTTTACAGTTTTTCCCCATCTTACCGTAACAGTTTAACCTTTTTATTTTTATCTTGGAAACACGAGAGTGCCGTGAACAAGTTTAAAAGTTAGACGAACACCAAGTGCCAAAACAACCGCCGATATTTTCGATCGATCGCAGACGGCGACGGTAACGTACGGTTTTGTAAAATTCGAGATTCGACCGCGTTCGAATGCGTCGCCCGACGCTTTTCCGAACTGCAATACGAGTATTTTACGTGCGCGCGTACGGTCAATCCGTCGAAAGGAAACGCGGAGGAGAACGCGAAAGACACCGGGATACGAAGGAAGCGAGTGGAAAGAGAGTGTGCGCGAGAGGGAGAGAGAAAAATTATTAAGTTAACGACGTGTAAACACGGGTTTTTATTGACGGTAATTGGTCGGAGCGCCGCGGCGGCCGAGGCAAAAATACGGTCGAAACCAGGTCGTAAAACAGTCCGCGCGCACCGACCTAAAGTGCCGAGGAGCGTGCCGCTGCCGGTTCGCATGCGCGTGTGTACGTAATAATAAACGCGCGCGCGCGCGCGCGCGTGTGTGTGATAAAATCACATACACTCCCTCTTGTACATAAATTAGGCATGTTTATGATGCGGTTTTTTTTTTTTTTTTTTTTTTTTCATCCAAAAACTCTTTACTACCACACACCGCAGCTCTTGACTACCGCCGACGTGATTCCTTCGACCGTTTACCGAACACACACAGTGCGGTATTTACGATACGTCCGCTCGAACACGCAGTGGCGATCGTCACGGCGTGACAATCGTAACGGTAACGTTTGTTTTACGATTGTTTCGGTTCGGAAACGTGTGACAACAGCTGATCACGTGATTACACGAGACGAACAGAATAAGGGTTTTACACCTGTGCACACACGTTTTCGTTCGCGCGCAATCCTTACCGGACGTTACCCGCGGGATCGCCGGAAACAACGGGAACGAGCCGTAAATCATGAAAAACAACGGATACATCGATGATCTGATTTTTCGTTTTCCCCTTCACAAAACGCGTCTCTGCAGGTGTTACGTACGGGTCTATTATTATCGACACCGTCCACGCTATAATTCAGCTACCAATGCGCCCGCCGGACGCGACGTTTTCGTGATTCCCGTTCAGTTGGTTCACCTCCAAACCTATTGCGCCCCGAAGACGCGCGTGTACGTTTTAAAATCTCGCGTAACGTATTTACGATCATCGGAACTTCAGAACGTTTCTTCCCCCGTCGTCCGTACAATGTTAACACATGAGAATACGATGATATAGCAACGTGAAATTTAGTCGGCCCCGTGCCCTTGTGCAATGTGTAGTACATAAACGCGCGCCGTGTAGTACATAAACGTATTCTCTACTCGATTACTGTTAAATTGAGCCATTATAAAAAACGGAAAAAAAAACGGTCGTAAATATTCGACGAGCAGCTACTGCCGCCGCCGCCGCCGCCGCCGCCGCCGCCACCGCCGTGCATAGGTCGGTCGGTTTATTTATCGTGCGCT